AGTACGTGGATAAGCAAGAAATGCTAGTTATCTGAATAGGAGCCAGGACTCACCAATGAGCAAACATCAAAACAACAGTAATCAGGAGATGGGACAGAGGATGTCACTTCTCCTTGGTTACTGACTTCAATTAACAATGAGGGTTATTAGCATGTGGGATAAAATTAGTTTTACACTTTGAAATGTAGAGTCAACATAAGAACACTAATACGATTTACTAGCTTTTTCACGTTTGTGTGCTTTTTGATTTTGACCATGGGCAAGAGTATAGAAAAATAACACATCTTTGAGATGTCAAGAGTTTCCAATTGTTGAAATCACCCAATTCTATTATCTGACAGAATAGAAGAATTTGCCAAATACAGAGAGTAAATATGTGGTATGAAAGCAATCACTCAGGCATCACTCAGATCACTAAATTCAATGCAGTGAGCTCTGCTCCTCCACACGGAGAGGGTACAGAGGACGGAAGTAAGGCTGAAGAAGTGCAATCGATGAGACCATGCTGGACCCAAGGCTCTTCAGATTTCACAAACTAGGGAGGAAAAAACCTGCCACATCATCAATGTCATCAGTTACCAGAGTCCAGATAAGTGACCCTGGCTGACTTTATAAGTTTGAATCAGCACATCTTAAAAAAACCAAAACAAAACAAAAAAACAGCCTAAGAATTTGAGGTATCAGATACCCATTAAAAAATGACTTTAGATTTATAAAACTTAACCCACAATAACTCACACAGATACTGTTCAACAGAGTAACTAAGTGAGAAAGTCCCTGCAAAGCTGAGCATCAGCAAACTTGGAGCCTAACCTCTGCTCAGTTCCTCACCAGCTGTGTGACTTTTGGTAAGACATTTAACCTCTCTGGGTCTCATCTCTGTCCCTACCTATAAAATGAGGAGGCTAAAGAAGACAGTCTCTTGATGCCCCTTTTAACTCTACAATTGCGTGCCTGTTAATATGTGTGTCATCAGCATGATTGTGAGTTTGGTTCTCTGCCTGGACATCTTAAGTGTGGAAATATGGGAAGGGGCAGCTTCCTGAGATCCAGGATGGACAAATGCAAAACATCATTAGACAGCCCTTTCCTGAGAGCATCTCTTTCCATTAGAATGTTTGTACTGCTGCTCCACTTTGGTAGGATCTATTAACCAAGGCAAGTAGGGCCAGCAACAAGAAAAGAAGAAGACCCCTAGTGGCCCGCCCCAAGGCAGGGTGGGCTGCACATTCCACAAGGCAAAGGCTCCCAAACAGTGTTGAGTTACAGAACCAACCAGTATCTGCTGGAGAGTTTCTGACCTGAGAGATGACCGAGTTCTTGTATTCCCACAGCTTCCTGGCTTCGGCTTTCTCCTTGTTACTCAGCAGCTGAGGCTGGGGAACCTTCTCAGAAGCCCTGCCCTCAATAAATCGGGTTGCCAAGGACCACAGACGTTGCTGCCATCTTAGCACCCCAGGGAGAGCGTCAGCTGAATTCAGTGCGAGTAAAGGAGAAAGAGAAAGACAGCAACATGAGAATGATTCAATAAATCGGGTTGCCAAGGACCACAGACGTTGCTGCCATCTTAGCACCCCAGGGAGAGCATCAGCTGAATTCAGTGCGAGTAAAGGAGAAAGAGAAAGACAGCAACATGAGAATGACCGATTTGGTTGTAACCAAGCCGAGAAAAGCACCTGTGAACTGATGAGACACTTCCCTGTGCCTAGATGGGTTCATCTGAGGGCAGGTGAAGGTTCCTCTCTGGCTTCCAGAGTCTGACCGGTCAGACCAGGACTGATTCCATCAAACCTTAGTGCCCCAGATCTTCAGAGCACTGCACGGCAGGGCTACCTGGCATGCCGCCCACCATCTGTCACAGCCCATGACGAGGTGAGAAGCTTGGTCAGGATGCGATGAAGCAAGCTTGCTGTGACAAAAATGCTGTGGAGCTAACAATGTGCTTGGAGACACAGCTGACATTCATGGGCACGAGCTCCTTATCTCACAGGCACAGGTTAATACACAGCGGCAGTGGTCCACAGGTTCTCTTGCAACCGCACTGCTATACAGTGTGACATATTTTAACACTATCACTGTGCTTGCTGAATATGTGTGTATTACATATTTCAAACATACTCATCAAATGTAACTGTTAATCTGATCTGGTGAAGCTCAATGGCTTCACCTGGTAGCCCTGCTCACATGGCTAGTCAAATCAGGGCCAGTCCATGTCCTTGTACTCTTTGGCACTGCTGGGCGTTCTCAAGCCTGGTTGCACAGCAGAACCTTCTGGGAGGCTCTTAGAAACAGCTTCCTGGATCCTGTCCCATGAGGTAGGAGCAGAAGCCAGAACCTGCGCCTGTAAATCTGTGCTGTATAAGCCCCTAGTGATTCTGATGCAGCCAGCTCTAGGACTGGCATCTGTGACTGCTGCTCTAGACCACACTTCCCACTAGCCGCGAAATAAAAAAATAGCCATTGAAATAAACAGTGATTGCTCAAATAATATTCATACTCTGCACAAGTCTCAGGACCTTCCCATTACAAAACTTGGGGCAGATCACACAAAGGAAAAATGAATGACTGCAGGACACTTTATTCCAGGACAGCCAGACACACAAGATTAATTTACTTCAAATCATTTAGATCTAAATAACTTTGGAGAGACAAATCTCCCCTTAGAGGGGAGATGGAGGTTGTTGTGGGGTGACTCAGAGGTCACAGGTAACACCAGGACTAGGCCCCAACTGGGGTTTTCTGGATTGGTGAGGGAGGATGTCACTGTTCTAGAAAAAAAACCTCTCAGGGTGGATCAAGAAGGAACTGACCTCTTTGGACCACAGCATGGAAGCCAGTCTGTCTCCATGGAAATAGCTCTCAGAGTGTGGTCCTTGTAGAACTTACATCAGAATCACCACAGAGCTTGTTAAAAGGCAGATTCCTGGGCTCCCTCCTGTATGCTGAGTCAGCAGGGCTGGGGTGAGGACTGGGAATCTGCATTTGTGACGAGTTCCCCAAATGATTCTGAGACTCACTTGCATTTGAGGACACTGGTCTGAGAATGGTAGAGGATGTTGGACAAACTGCTACTCGCTTAATGGAACTGACTCCTAGAATTCTCTACTACTGTCTTCAGCAACGATATTTCCTTCCCCAGATTCCTTCGAGTCCAGGGCAGATCACAAAGGAAGCAGGCCAGGAAGAGGAAGGTGACTTACTCTTCACATCCCACAAGATATCCTTCTCAGGAGGGGCAGCAAAAAGGATGTAGAGCCGAATCGTGTCGATCCCATACTGCTCTACAACCTCCTCAGGGTCCACCCCGTTGTGCTTGGACTTACTCATCTTCTCCCATGTCACCTCTAACTTCTCTTTTGTTTTTGCATGAACAGGAACAGAACCTAGATGCCAAAATAACACATAGGCATGGTATGTGTGACTCTGAATTGGTTCTATAGAAACACGGTCAATAAGAAAACACTGGGGGAGCAATGAAAGGTGCCCTCTTGAAGACTTCCACTAAGCTCACTTACCACGCCTTTCCCTCCCTCTATATTATACAAAATGTTTTTGTTTTTAAATAAATAAGGCCCACCTCCCTCTCACAAACCTTTCTTTCATGAATAAGTAGTACAGTTATAATGGTCTGTGCCAGCTTTTTCTACAAAATATTTCCCCCTTTATAAGTAAATTATTTATACACAAAAAAAGAATAATAAGAACTTGCATATATTGCTATTTTCTTTATGGATTCATAAAGTTGGCAGCTGACCATTCAGGGTCTCGGAGCAGCCAAGAACCCTGAGAGGCTGCCTCACTTGGGGACTTGGTACCACCATTCATATTATAGTCACCAAAACATGATCTTGTACTGCAGGGCACATGGAGCTAACTCACTGGGCTCAGGCTAAATGTGGCCGTCTGTTTGTGTTATGAGCTACCCACACCCTGTTCTTTGGAAGTGTCTCCTCACCACTGCTCTAGATGGTGCTGATAGAAGTGGCCATGTTTGGACAAGGTCACCTTATTGCCAAGCCCTAGTGGATAAGACCAGTAAGGTCACCTGACAAGGCAAAGCCTTTCTCAGGAATTGGAACTAAGAGACAGAAACTGTTTTGATGGCGTTGGGCTCCAGAAGCCTCAGGTTCTAAGGAGATGGGGTTAGATGTGGCACTGTGTCTATCCCTTTGTAAACTGATACTGGGGGAGAGCAGAATCCAAGTCTGGCAGAGGAAGGAGAACAGGGCAGAAGAACAGAGAGAAGCTAGAAGAGGAATTAGAGGCTTGAGAAAGAGAAAAGGGGAAAGGAGGGGCTGGTGACTTCCTATGTGCTGTGGGGCCCAGCTGTATTTCCCACAACTGGGTTTGGGTGATGCCCCTATTATCCTTGAGGCAAACCATCTTTGGGTGGATTTCTGTTCCTTTCAGCCAAAGAATCCCTGACTCCAACAGTAACCAAACTCCCATAGAACTGATAATATATACCTAAAGCCAATTTCATACTTCATGAGGTCTACATCCATGAAGTAGACAGAAACCTGCACTTGCAGATGAAAATATTCAGCAAGTCTGCAAGGGAAGAGAAAAGATGTTCACAACACTGCCTGGCCCTATGACATCACAGCAAAGGAAAACTAAGTCCTGAATGATGTTTCATCCAGGCTGCAGTGAGGCTCAGGGAACCTCTGCCCCCTCTACCCAGCCCTGGGTTGTGTCAAGCCCTTATAACACTGTTGTGCAAATTAGGAAAAAGGCATCGTTCTGAACAGAGAAGTTGAGAAGTTAGACAAAGTTGCTCCCTTTTGGCAGATGTGGCCCTGAAATATAGGGTTTGGCAAGTGGCTAGATTTTAGGCTTTGCTTATCCCCTTGGCTGGCTGCCTTTGTGCAGTACACAAACCACACAGCTGTGCATGGGTAGCCTTGTCCATAACACACAGAATTACTAACAGCTGGAATTTATGTGCCTCTGGATGTAGCTCCTTTCCTCTCTGGTCTGTGCTGAAGACACACTGCCAATTTCTCCTTCTCCAGCTTCTTTTTCTCCCAAGGACCTTGATGACCATTCCAAACCCTGATGTATGATTACTGTGAGTAGGTAATTCCACTGACTGCTTCCTCCTAAGCCCTCTCTCTAGTGGTTCGGCCTGAGAGGTTTTCTACCATTTAAGGGGTTGTTGGGTATACCTAATCTCATTCATTATGCACTCGCTTTTCTAAATTCAGTGGCCAGAGTACTGAGGGTTCCTCACAGCTGCCCCTATACATACTGCCTGCTGTGTCCCCCCGCCCCCACCCCCATTTTCTTGCATGTCATTTATTCCATTTGTATGCTAGGTGCACATGACACATCTTCATCATGCCACCTAAAGATCTGGCAGGAGGAAACATCTTTGAGGAAGGGTGAAAATACAGAGTAGACGGGAAGGGCTTGGGAGAGCTGGGAGAAGGACATGCAGGGGAACGGGGGGAGGTGTTCTGCTGAGAAGTGCTGGAAGGGGCTGCTCCATTGCTCCAAGAGAAAGCAGAGTGGTGGCCCTGAGGTTCTGGAGTGTGGTGCTAGACCACCGAGGAGAAACACTGGGAGTACTCCAGTCCTGGAAGACTGTCTCTTGGGCCTGGGGGTTCTGTCTTTGAGATGAGCTGTCTAATGTGGGCTGGGACAGGAGGTGATGCATGTGTTGACACTATGTTACACACAAACGAAAACCCTGTTCGAAGCTCAAGTGACACTTGAGCTGGATGGGGCTGGGGCAGAGGAGCAGCCAGCCTGTCCCAGGACCAGCCACAGAAGGTGCAGGCCCAGAGCAAGCTGAAGCTTAGAGACTACGAGGCCAATGGGTCCCTGCCCTGGATTCTCCAGCCAGCCAGGGCCTAGCGGCAGACACCTGCTTGCTCAGTAGCTCTCGGGCCTGGCCTTGGTTCTCTACAAGGCCTGGATGGGACCGGATGGGCCATTCTTACCTGTGAGATCTACTTCCTCTCTCTGTAGGTACTGTCCAGATGGTAGGCGGAATGTCTGCCCCTTGATAAGGCCTTGGGCCAGCAGCTTATGAAAAGGCTCTCTGAGGAAAGATAACAGGAAAAGAAAACTAGAGGTAGGGATACAAAGCATCCAGAGAATAGCAGGACCAACCTTATCTGCTGATGGGCAGAAATAACTGCCCTTCGTGAAAATGGGTCAGCTGACCAAGGCCACTTGTAAACTCAGCTTGAACAATGGCTCCTTATCAATAAGTGGCAAGAAAATTTTAGTTAAATCAGCAGGTATTAACTAACTGTCTACTTTCCACTGTGGGGAAGTGGAAAGAGCCCCAGGCCTCAGATAGAAAGGCCTGAACTCAAATCTTAGTCCCGTTTCTCAAAGAATTCTATGAGTCAAAGCAAGTCACTTACTTGCTCTGCTGGTCAGTTTGCTCATCTGTAAAATGGGGGTGAGAAAAACCTGCCTCAAAGTATTGTTGGGAAGATTTAATGAAATGATTGCAGGAAAATACTTGTAAATTTTAAAGAACCACACAAATGTAAGCTATATGCTAAGCTCAGCCTAAGAAGGGCTCAAGAGGATACAGAGATTTAGTTAGATTACTTTTTTCCTTAACCTTGTATACAGCACCTGGTTACATTCTTCTTAAATTTTTTGTCATACAAGTTGTACATGAATACATCTTTTTTGTTCACATCCAAACACTACCCCTCCTTTCTAGGCCTACATTCCTCTGAGATGGCAGCTATTATTAATAGTTTGGTGAATATCCCTGGAAAAGTCTGGAGACTTTTTTCAATACCTTTACATATATAAACATGTACACACCCATATATGGTTTTGTAGATTTAAAAAATTTAAATAAGTGGGATCACACCATATGTATTACTTTATGGTATTTCCCTTATTGATATGACTGAATTTTTCCATCACAGTCCATATAGATCTATCTCTTTTTTTTTGGCAGCTGGCCTATATTGGGATCTGAACCCTTGTACAGAGATCCAAACCCATGGACCTTGGTGTTCTAACACCACTCTCTAACCAACTGTGCTAACCTGCCAGCCCTATCTCTCTCTCTCACTCCAGATATGGTTGAGGGAGAACACCAGGTGGCAGAGAGTTATATACAGTGAAATACACCTTACCTAATATTTTTAAAGACACAGGAAATACTAAATTGTGGACACGCAGATGTGGCAACTGTCAAAAGACAGACAAGAAAGAGACATGGTGACGTTCTGATAGTGGTTGTGTCTGAGCGGGAGCACTGCTGCGCTCCCAGCGCCGCACTCTCCCGAGTGTGCCACAGGCTCGGCCCACCTATCTCATTTTTTAAACAGCTACCTAGTGGTCTACAATATGGATGGATTATAATCTATTTATAGAGGCTGTTTTTAAAAAGTAGTCTTAGTCACACCATAATAGACTGAATAGTAAGAGATAAATTTTTTCTCTTAAGAGGACAAGTAGAGGTTGACTTCCATACTGACATTATTTTATTTAAATGTGAAATTGTTTATTCTTAAGAATCTACTTGATTCAATTTTGAAGCATTTCAGCAAGGGCTATTCTGAACTCCAAGAAGATTCATGGAGACATCTGCTGATGACATATGTATTTCATGTTGTTAGAGACAACACGCAGGAGCGTCCATGTAGGGAAGACCGGGTGACATACCTTTCAATACACAAGTCCTGTGGTGGTGCTTCAAGGGTGGCTTTTATTTAGAAGTTCAAAAACCTGGTATCTTCAGAGAGGCCCAACAGGCAACACACCTAACTCCAGTGAGGAAGGTAAAAGGAGCTGGCTTTGTCAACAGGCTTCTCATTTTACACCAATGCCGTCGAGTTTAGATGAGCCCTGATACTGAGTGAGGCTCTGGAAAGGATCCTGACACGCACACTGTGCAGCCGCTGTCATAACAGTTACGTTGACAGTGGCAATTTAAAGGAAAGTTTCTAGTGCATTCAGGAGGACAGAGTGGAACAAAGAGATTGAGAAAGACTGAGGGTCAGCTAGAAGGAAAGGACTCCTGGTCATTGTATTTTAAAAACTTTTATGAGCGCATGTGTGTATATGTGCTTGCATATGTGTATTTGGTAGTAGTGGTGGTGGTGGGAGAGGGGGTGTATTTTCCAAGCCAGAAAAGATTTGATATATTTAACATTCAAATGGAAATGTCACACATATTTTTGAGACCTCATTCAGTACCCGGGTCCGTTATTTGATGTCACAGGGCTCATGGAGCATGCTGTTGTGTTAATTTGGAGGGAATTCCACATGTGTGCACAAAAGGAATCACAACATTGTCCAACCTCTAAAATATTTTTAATAAACTCTTTTGAATCATAGAACTGCTGTGTCTCCCACCTCCACCTCAAGACACTATTGGCAAAGTCACAATTGGCAGGAGAATGATGTCCTTTTGTGCCACAATTCATGTCCCAGCAAGACTCCCAGGAAATGTGAGCCCTTTATATACAAGGATATGGAAAATGATTTAAAAATCAAATGCACTTGGATCTTATACTGCATTTTAATACAGAAGCACAATGAAAGAGGAGCAATGCTGTCTGTGCGTCCCTGTTTTTCAGGAATGCTGGCACACACACCAGGAGGAACCTTTGTCTTCAGGCCTCACAGCCCCTCCCAGGACAGGTCAGGGTTTTGATGCCACAAGCACAAGTTTATCTTTTAGATTGGGGTCTTCCTTAAATAATTTTATATGCAGCTGCCTAACACAAAAGAAACAGACTGTAACCTTGTCCCTGATGCACTTGGTGGTAGAGGGATGAATTTGCTGTTATAGTCTCAGGCTCTAGTGTCCCTGCACCAGGTTTTGAGGTTTTCCCTCTCCTCTCTCACAGTGAGTCTGTGGTTCTGGGCACTTGTAAGAGAAATTTTTAAAAAGATGTTTTTGGGATGGAAGGAAGGAGGGAATAATCTGGATCCAAAGATAAAGACAAGTAGGTTAATTAAAATCAGCAGCATTAAGCCTCCAGAAGGGGCTGGGGAAGAAACAAGGAATCCTGTTAGCGCGTCTGGCATTTCATCAAGTGACACAACACCGCCATCTTCTGGGGATGGGCAGAATTACAACCAGAACCTGACCCTAACCCCAGCTGTTCTGCTTAAGGCTGCGTTCCATATTTTTAAACTTTTTTTTAAAAAGTAAACTGTTAAAGTATTGCACACATATTGGAAAGTGTATGAGTCCTAGGGGTATAACTGGATGAATTTTCACAACATAAACACACCTGTGTAACCATTGCCCAGATCAGTGAGCAGAACATGACCACCTCCTGCCCACCTCCAGGACTACCTCCTCACCATGGGCACCACTGGCCTGATTGCTAACACCATCGTTTAGTTTTGCCTATTTCAAAACTGCTTCTAACCATTTCCAAATGAGGGAGCTCAGGGAATGGCCACATTGGAGGCTTTCCCCAGACTAGTAAGTATGGCCTCACAAAATAGCAGTGCACCTAAACCAAGGCCTGCGGGTTCAATGAATATGTTTCAACTTGTGAAAGTTAGCAACAATGCAACTTGACAGCTGAAGCTCAGCTGGATTCTCTATCTCCTCCTGGGGTCCCAGTCCAGCAGGGGTCGTCTCGGATGGATCTTCTAGAAGAGGGAAGGACTGCCTCAGGGCCCAGTGCCCTCAACTATAGCTATCCAGACATCACTGATGATAGCAGCACTTCCTGGCTCACTCAGACTCAGCCTCAGAAAGTTTCTTAGTACCACATTATCAGAAAGCACAGTTATAATGGAAATTTATCATTTATTTATCCAACACGTATTTCCTGAGTGCCTACTATAAGCCTAGCACTGAGCTAGGCATTGGGGTATGACAGTGGGCAAAGCAATCCCTGCCCTCAGGGTGGCGTCTTTGCTATTGCTGAACCAAGCAATGCCTGACCACTCTCAGAGCTGTGAGGAAGGAAAAGAAAGAGCCTGGTCGTATTGAAGAGCACCTCCTTCCACGTCAAGTTAAATTCCTCAGCTTGCCCATAAAGGACTTCTCCCCTCCCTTTTCACTTCCTCCGCTCTTTGCCCATACACGCTTCCATGTCCTCACTCACACTGTTCCCCAACTGTTATCAAAACGCTTGCCCATAAAGGACTTCTCCCCTCCCTTTTCACTTCCTCCGCTCTTTGCCCATACACGCATGTCCTCACTCACACTGTTCCCCAACTGTTATCAAAAATGTCCCTCTGTTAAAACTCTACCCTTCTCTCCAGGCTTGACTCATATGTTCCCTCCACTGGGAAGGTGTCTTGGACCCTTATGGTTGGAATTAGTTGCTCTTTTCCTTGTTGATGTGTCCAGCGTGGTACCTGCAACATATTTGGCAGATACTACATTTTATTGTGTATTTAGGTGAGTTGCTTACCTGTCTGTCTTCCTCCTGGGAGGAGGAGGAGGAAAATCCTTGAAGACCCTTCCTCATGCCTAGTTCATAACAGATGCTCAATAAATGTTAATTGGTTTGAACTAAATCATGTTTGTTTCAATGAATCAATAAATGAACCCAACAACAGCAGAGGTTGGGGACAATGTGGAGGGGGAAACTGGAGGCAAAAGGTAAGAAGGATGGATGAGGGGGATCCCTCATCCACAAGGCAGATGAAGGGGCAGGCACTGGATGCTATGGTTTCCAGTTGGGACCACGACCTTTTGCGGGGAGGGGCGTGTTGAAAGATTCCAAACTCTGTCCACTTCTGGCTCGTAGGAAGGTCACAGGAGCAAGGGAATGAGAATGGGGAAGTGCCCTGAGTGTTCACATGGAGTTTCACAGCAGGGGGGGGGGTTCCCAGCTCCTGTAATCCTGCTCATTCCTCAGTGCTTCCCCTCCACTCTTCTAGGGCTCTAGGGAATGCTCCACAGGGCTTTGGAATCTGGTTCTCATTCTCTTGGCTGAAGCCAGCCACATCTACCCTCATCTGTAGTTTAGCTCTGAATGAGGAGCCATTCCTGCTTATTCATTCAACATGTGTTTGCATGACAATTGGGTATAGAGCACTCTGTAATTAATTGAAGAGCTTACAGTAGAACAGGTGGTCCAAGAC